CCGCGGTGACGCGTAGAGAAAACGGCGAAGAAAGGCGGGGGGAATCGGTATCAGGGGCAATTCCGACGCAAAAGCGGCTCGGCTCGCTCCATTCGGGGGCCATTAAGTCCCCTTTTAATTCGTCAACGCGCAATAACAAATATTTATCGTCCGATGCATTATTCCGGCCGGCGTGGGCGGGGTAAATAATATTCGGGGGTCAGAGGGAGCCGCGGGTGGCCCCCGAGCCGCACGCGACGCCATTACCGCGTCCAAAGCACCGGAATTATCGGTGTATCGTGCCGCGGGGGTAGCCGCGCCGCTTCCGTCGCGAGTGCTCGAGCGAAAAAGAGAGGGAATCGCAACAAATCACTCGATATCTTGGAAGCCACGCGCCTAGAAAGCGAGAGAGAGTGAGAGCGAGAGGACGGCCGGAACGAGCGGAGAAGACAGCGCGGACGACGGCGGAAAACTACGGCGGCGAAGGACGGGGGGGAGCGGCGACCCTCGAGCGAACCGGAGAGACGCAAGAACTTTTCTTATTTACGAGCGAGCTTATTTCCTCGGGCTACTGCATATGGATATCAGCGAAGCGATCCGCCACGCGGATGCCGGGAATCGGCCGAGCACACCGCGCTCGGAACTTTAATGGCACCTCCAAGACCCTTGCCAGCCAGCCCCGGTCTCCGTGCGATCTTTCTGCTACTGGGGTTCGTCAACTGTTAAGGTATACTTTCAGCCGGGGGGAGGATCCTCAGGGGTTCAGGTTAATTTTGGGGTAATTATTAGTATTTATTGTTGGGGTGGATTGCGGCGTATCGCGGAAGGTTCGGGCAGTGGCATTTAGCGGCGGAATTGATGGGACAAGATGAGTCGTTATTGGATCCTTGATTTGCGACTGTTGGGAACGACGGTTCTTCGAGTAGTTTCTGGGGAAATTGATTCGGTGATAGGAAACCTGAATTGTAATGGAAATTTCAGTGAGCTTTCAGAGGTTGTATAGGAGAATTTAAGAAGTCGATTGTTGGGTCAAGAGTTTGGAAAATATCCTGGTGATTGCGAGGCTGATGTTTAGAGTGCGGCGAGGTTTTCGGGTGTCGCGCGATGTACTTGCAGTTAATTAATCGAATCGATGAACAATCTCGATTATTCTACTCTCATAGAAGACCAATCATTCGGTCGAATAGAAATCGCCCACGGTCGATGTTTCAGCTACACGGCTGTCCGATTAATTTTGCAAATAACGTTAATTGGATTAGTTGCTAAAATAAGCGTCAACCGATATTTATTTGCGCACTAACAAATACACAGGCCGGTACGCTGGGGTGTAATCTGTTGCGTTCCGAGCGAGCCACGCGCCTCTAATTTTGTTCAAACTTATTTGCCCCGATCAATCCGCGAAAGGGATGAAATTTTGTTTCAATCGGTCGATCGTCGGCGAATATAATATCTAAACGAGCACGGGAATACGGGGAAATACCGGAGCCTCGATAGCTCTGTAAATATTGATTTTCTTTTTTTCACTAAAATTCATTCGTACAAACAAATTCCGCAGTTCAAAGGGTTAGCTCCCCGACGTATTCAGGTCAATCTGGCGAATCAATTTTTTTAAATCGAAATTAATTTTTCCTCTCGTAACGAACGCATCGAATAAAATTCGAATAGGACCCGATCAACGTCAATTTTCAATTGAACTTTACAACGACATTGGCTGGAAAATATTGAGGTTGACGTGCTGGAAAATCAGTGAAAATTGTCCTGAACGTTTTCTATCGCGTACTTCGTTCTAACTTCTACTGTTACCAGACATCACCATTGACAGATTTAAAACCGTTTGACCAAAATTTTTTAACATTTCCATCCTTCGCAAGATCGAAAATTCCTCGAGTTTGAACCACTTTCGTCGAGAAATAGCTCGCGTTTACCGAATTAACGTCACAGATTCAATTTCGGAGAACACTTGTCGCGCAAGTTCGAGCCGTGTATTCAATTTCCTCTTTCCCCCAGGTTTTGTTCAACGAAAAAGATACTCTCCTGCCTGCCAGAGGGGAAACACGTCGTTCCATCCTTCTTCCGGGGGCCCGGGTAATTTTCTTAAACACAATTCCTGTCGGCGTGTTCCCGGGGCAGCGCGAGCGCGAGCGCGCCGGCTCGGCCGACCGCGTGGAAACAGCCTCAAAGCACGAAGTCGGGCTTTATTGGAGGACTTTCGGCCAGGCAGAACGCGAACTTTTTCATGGCTACGAGGGAACTCTTCTAGTCGTAAAAATAAGTGTACTGCGAGGTGGTTTAACGGTGTCTTAAGCAGCGGCCAACGCCGCGTTAAAATTCCTCTAGAGCGCCGCAGAATTGTGCCCCGAGAATTTTCGTCGAGCCCTAAACCACCACCACGTTCCCGCCACTCCGTTTGCGTTTGGATTCACGGAGATTCCTGGATACCGATTGCTCATCCGATTGAGCCACAGAAATCCGATCGATCTTCTCGATACTTCAACCCTTAAATTTGAAATGTGCAATCCCTGAAATCCGAAGGATTTCTTCGATGCTTCAGTTTTAAAAATCCTCATTCTTCACGAATGCGATTGGACATATGAAACTGCAAATCTTCGAGATCCAATCGATATTGCTAATATTCCAAACTTCGAAGTTATAATTCTTCTAAGTGTGGTTGAACGTATTAAAGCTTCCAGTGGCTGAAATCCAATCGATTTTCTCGATACTTCAACCCTTAAACTTGAAATGTGCAATCCCTGAAATCCAAAGGATTTCTTCGATCAGTTTTAAAAATCCTAATTCTTCACGAATGCGATTGAACATATGAAACTGACAAATCTTCGAGATCCAATCGATATTTCTAATATTCCAAACTTCGAAGTTATAATTCCTCTAAATGTGGTTAAAAATATTAAAGCTTGTAGTAACTGAAAACCAATGAAACCAATTTTTCAATCTCTAGCCTTAAGATTTCTCGGAATGTAATCGGAGATATCGATATTATCAATGTATGGGTCGCAGGAGCATAAGGAAACGGATCTTGAAAAATTCACCTTCCTTCGGCCCGAATTCCTACAATAGAATACACAAGGAAATAGCGAACTTATTACGGCGGAGATACCAGAAACAACCGTTACCGCGGAGTTTATGGAATTATCGAGTTAAGCACCTATCGATTCCTTTTAAGGTCGGGCCGAGTATCCGTGGCAAAGACGAAGTTTAAATAAACCGTATCTTTGGAAGCGCAGAATTCCGAACGGAACGCTCGGGGAACGAAACTCCGGGAATAAAAGAGGCGGTACCCGCCGTTCTTATTTTTTCGACGACGACCACGGGGATAAAAATTTCTCGGGTGTGAATTCTCTTCGGGAAGTATCTCGGAAGTGCGCGTTCGATTCCGATCAAAGTACGGGTCGGACAAGACTTTGGGCTTCGATGCAAATATACATGTACTGTTATTGCTGACTTCTTCGCGGCGGAATATTATTATCAGAGATTTCTTCGGGCAGAAATATTAACATCGCTGATTCCCGCGTGAAAGGATCTTATTATCGACTTCTCCGCGAGCGAATAACATTACCGTCGAACGTTTACTTACACAGAAATATTCGCGTCGCAGGGTCCTTCATGAAAGTACATTATCATCGCCGATATCCTCCGAGAAGAATATTATTTGCAACATCGCTCCGTACATTACGAACCTCTCTCGACTTACATTATCCTCGTAAAGGACTTCAATACATTGTACGCATTCCATAAAGATCGTACTTAACAATGAACATTCATTCCAGAAACATCAGCGTTATCCGCTCTTCGAAGTGGAATTCATTAGTACCTTACAAAAGGAATATCTCATTTTTCTAACCACCTTGCAACGACCTCACGCGTCTCGAGCGAGAAGTTTCAACGACTCTTATCTTTCTTCGCGCAATATCACGCTAATATAAATACACGAGTCACGAGCATTCATTACTTTACCGAAGATCATTCTCCATCGAGTATTACACAAATAAGACCCAGACTCAGTGGTCGATCGGCTTCCAAGCCAAGCGTTCGACGGTTTCGCCATCGCGATCGACTTCCTCCAACGGGAACATCACACGTCGTATCCCCGCCGAAAAGTAACCCGGACTTCGAACTTCGTTCCCGACGACAGGGAAAAAGTGAATTCGATTTGAGAACCGAAATCTGGTAGAACATCTACTCCGTCGCGGTAGAATGGCGTCGGGCTCGGCGGAGCGCGCGGGCGGGAGGCGTCAGGGCTTGATCTCGGGGACGAAGGAGCGAAAATTCGTTTCGCGGTTAGCGATGGACAAGATTTGTTTGAATTCTGCGGGAAATCCCCAATCGTTCTTGCCGCGGGCGCCGGCGGAAGGGACCGGAGGCCCTTCGCCGAAATTGGATGCAGGATTTGCGGCCGGGATCGGAGAACATTGTCGCCGCGCGACGCGGGAATCCGAAAGGAGAGCGAAAAATAGGGGCCACGGTCACCCGCGATTCGTATAATAAACGAACCCCCCCGCCCCGCGTTCGTTCCTCCGGGATCCGCCTGGTTTCGTATACATGGCTCGGTCGATTTCGTAAATCCTCCGGATATTGCTATTTAGATGACACGATGATTATCGTTCGAATATTCCAATCACGGAGATTCTACGACGAAAGAACTTCCGCCTCTTTCTGATCGAACTCACGGGAAAATCGTTCGATTAAGGCTCGAATCTTGAAGATTTTCGTATCGTACGCTCGTTGGAGAGATTTTTCTTTCGAGATCACACTCGAATGGACACTTTGGTTGCTTTTGTAAGATGTTATTGGAGTTACAGGTGAATTCAACACTAAAACTACCGAGCAAGGACGACTTCCAATTTTTTATATAAATTAGAATAATATGTTAATGTTCTCTCGCAAAATCGTCTGCATGAATTGAATACTTGCAAAATAGAAATTCTGCGTAGTTTTAGTGTTAATCAGAAAATTCTGTTCAATGGGAGAAATTGTTTTGGCTATGATCGTCGCGGAGGACTCACTTTCTCCTTCTGAGCCGCATCGTCCTCGATCTGCAACAAAATGAAATGATCTTTATTAGACTTCGCCAAGCAAAAACCGTGATTTATTACATCATACTGAAAAACAGAGGATAGCATAAACTTCCTGTATTATCAAAATGCAATACAATTTTACGAGCCCGCGGTGCACTTTTTATTAACACCGATCGTTATAACGCACGCAGATAAGGATCGCCGGTAAATTCCGCCGACTTGTAAACACGCAATGACATCCAACGAACAAAGTATATGCAACCCGCTATCGCGTATTTTATTATCGACGTGCTCCTTCATTATAAATGGCATTGGGCTGCTCGTAAAACTGGGAAGAAAAAAGGCGAAAGGGAAGCTCATCGACAGCTTCAATCTGTGAAACCTCGTACGCTGCTGCATTATTCCAAAATGATCTCACCATGAAAACGGTGTAGAAACTCTTCCAAATTTCCAACCATGTCAATGTTGAAAATTCATCATAGTTATATTATATCCTACTCGTGACAGAGGTAAACAATCCCAAATCAACGATGTCTAAAAGATAACAATAAATCCTCGTGAGACGTGTCCCTCGCGTTGCGCAACTTCCTTACACCGATCTCCATCAATCGGAAGCGACAGAATCACGCTGCGACGAGCATCGCAATTTTAGCACACCCTGTACACGCCGGACAACGATCCGAATATCGCCGAATATTCCCTGACGTGTTCCGGAATCACCGGGATCAGGGATACGCGTTATCTGGCCACGCGAGGGATTGGCGTCGCGGCGGGAGGGAGGGCGGCATTATCGGAATCCCACGCGCTATTTTTGCGCGGCGGATTTATATTTAACCATTATCTGGCACGCGATCCCCGGTTTAGTAAACAGCCCCGGTACGGGCCGGCGAAATGTTTTTTCGATAGATAAAAAAACCGCCGGCCCCGGGCGGCGGTCATCGGTCGGCCGATTAACCGGCGGCGTCAAGATAACAGTTCATCGGGATCCAATTACCTCCGACTCTCGGCGGGGGGGCAATTAATCGGGCGGACGATGACTCGGGTATCGAGCCAGTAATTATTAAACCAAGACACGGATTACCGATATCTTGAAGCCCGCCGTTAGGGGCGAGGGGAAACGGCGGAGAGGTTGGAAGGGGTTGGTCAGGTTGCAACGGCCGGCAGAGGTTATCGAGCCGATTTCGAGTCACGCGACCGAAGAATGAGAGACTCGAGGCTTCCATAATCAATAACGATAACCGAGTCATTTAAATTCTTCCATCACGAGCACGGGGAACGCTTCTGAATATTACAACATCTTTGTTTTCCGCTCGCGGGGACGCTGGACTCGACGAAAGCGGCCTCGCGCTCCGACTGCGCAACGTTCGCTCGCTTATCTTTTATTATTGAGGAGGAAGTGGAGTAAGAAAGGAGCACGGCGAGAGGGAAGGAGGCAACAACGGGCTCTTCGATAAGAGAGATGCAAGACGTAAGTCGATTTTTTGGAATGGGATAAGCGAAGCTGTAGGGAACACGAGTGATGAATGATAGACGAAATGAGATATTCGTGATTTCTTCTTTTGTAATTACTGGAAGGATGCTGGTACTTTGAAAAATTGTTAATGAAATGTTAATAGATGATTGTCTATGGGTTCTATAGTGAAATTTTAGAATACTAGTTTCAGTTTTCGGTAGTTCTAGCGATAATGTCCAAGGAAATCGCAACGTTTCCTCGGAAGAATAATGAGGCTACGAAGAGCGTGTTCTGCGTCGTGTAAGGAGATTTCGGTTCGCGGAAGAGGAACGTTCGGGCAAGAAACCTATCGGACAACGAGAAATCATGTGACGGATCTCCAGCTGCATCGAGGAACCATCATTTTAAAAAATAGCTTCCTAAGGAAACCAGGTCTCGATTTCCGGCCGGCGCGCGACCATATTTCGGACACCACGCGATTACAGATGTCGGCCATTTCCTCGGCACGTGAGTTACGCGCAATATCGTACCGCGGAAAATTAAAAAAAGAAAAAACGAAGATGG